GTGTAGTGAGATGTCTCCAGCCAGGGCCAAGCAGCAGCAGCAGCAGCAGTAGCAGCAGCAACAGCAACAGCAGCAGCAGAGAAGGGTCTGTGTTGCTAAGAGGCTTTTGGTCTCTTTCTCTCCTCCTCTCACGGCCAAAGAGGAGGAGGGTGGAGGGGGCTCGGGAGGGAGGCGAGTGGAGGGGTGAGGGGGTAGGAGTCGTGGATGGGGGGGTGGGTTTCAAAGAAGAAGAAACTCCTTCTCCTTCTTTCTCAGGCTCAATCCCCCTCTCAGGGCTCCAGGCTGGAGGGTGGGGGAAGGAACTCAGCCGCCTCCTCCCCACCCCCCTCAATTCAAGGTTGAAGTGGGGTAAAATTAGTGTCCTGTCCCTTTAAAAATAGAAATAAAAGGTCCCCCCCCTCTGCCACTGCCTCTCTCTTCATCATCAGCTGCTGCTGCTGCTGGGGTCTCTCTGCCAGTTTCTTTTCAACTTCAAGTCCTAGAAGAAACTCTGATGTCTCCCACTTCCACTCATCAAATGGACCCAGGAGGTCATCATGAGTTAAGCATACTTGCCAGCTTCCTTTAACTTCAAGTCCTGGAAAGGGGCTCTAAGGGGCACCCCCTTTACCATGCCTCAGTACATTGACAAAGTCTCTCTATTTCTACTTGTTGCAATTCAAATATAACTCTCTTCAGTGTACTGAATGGGGCTTAACCTTTCCCAGGTTAAGCCCCATGCTTTCGATCCAATTCTGCTAATTACTACAAACATTCTTTCAGGGCGAACTTTCCCTTTTAGCATATACAATTAAGCACCAGCTGAAGGTGGGCTTACATACTTTTCACAATCTTTATCTCAATACAACAACATCCAGTATTCATTAACATTGCTACATAGAAGAATACATGAATTTCTATCAAATATATGCTTTCTGCAATTAATAATATTTATTACTTTTATACAATATATCTTAACATTACATGTACTTCAAATTCCTTTTTTACAATAGATTTCACATTTCTACATAGTAAAACAAACAAAAAACATCAATACATAGACTTTTCAATAAATCTTCAACTTGATATTTCTACTCTATCATTTTGCCCCAGGCCAAAAAGTGATGCTTAACTTTCCACATTAATAGCAGCAAAAGTAACTTTTTTTAGCTATACTTCTCAAGCCCCAGGTTATAAAATTCCATTGTTTCTATGGGTCTGGAGCCTTTGCATTGAATCTCACTACTTCTGATACCAACTGAAATGGGACCAAGGACTACCTTGGGAAGGCTGAGTCTGACCTCTACTAACTCCACATGGGGGAATGGTCCCCATAAACAACATCCACAGTATAGAACTGATTCCTATGAGGCCAGGCAGGGCCCTCCACTCTGTTGTTGTACCAACTTCTACTAATTGTCATTTTAGATGCCATCGCGGTGAGTACGACTCATAGTCATTCTATGAACAACAGAGCTGAACTCTGTCCTGTTCTGTGCCATCCTCACAATCTCTGACACACTCAAGCCCATTTCTGTAGTCACAGTGTCAATCCATCTGGTTGAAGATCTTCCTCTCTTTTGCTGTCCCTCCACCTTCCCGAGCACAATGTTCTTCACTAATAAATGGCAAACAGCATGCCCAAGGTTATGTGAGATGAAGTTCTACTAATTATCAGGTCCAAAAATTGTTGTAAACCACTGCACAGATTTTCCAAGACCATTTTTCCACTCAGAGTTGTGGAGTTCAGTAAGTAGGTAAACAGATTGGGGTAAGGGGGAGCAAAGGCTATCATACAGAGAAAATCCAGGTTCAGCAAATAGGCCCAAACCAGCTCCGTCTCAAGGGCTCTGGCCCTGGTTTCATCAGGCCGTACCTTGCCACAATCCAGGCAACATCTTATCCTCCAGCAAGCTTAGACTAAATCAACAGGTCACACTGCCACTCTTGTGTTGGTCAGCCTCCTCTGCTGCTGAGACCGCTAAATCAGGTTAACGTGTGTGAAGGCCACACAGAGTTGAAGAAGCCAGATAAGCAATGGTCTAGGAAAGACATTTTAGGCAATAGAAAGCTATAGCAACAGATCTACTACACTGCCCTTTGTAAACTCGATGGCACATAACAACAACAATGAAAGTTCAGAGGTTCAAACCCACAAGTCATTATTGTGGTTATAGTCTAGTAAAGAATTTACTAAACCACCAAAACTTAATGGAAAGTTGCTATGAGTCAGAATTGAATCAATGGCAGTGGGTACTCTTTTATTGGCCGGATTTACAAGACTTTGGTGGAAAAGGCCATGTAATAATGATACATCACCTCTCAGAGGCATGTGAATTCTCCTTTGCTGTCTTCCTCTTGGGCCCTCTGAAATTTGCTAAGTAGCTGGGGGACACTTGGACCCTCCCTTGAAGCCTGTTTCCCACCTAGAGCCCTACATGGATGAACCCTGAAGTGGTACAAGGTCTATCAGGACTCAAAAAGCCCATTTATTTCAACAAAGTGCTTCTGTAGTCCAAGGAGTCTAGATGAAGACACAGGACATTACAATCATGCACAGAGAAACCTCTAGTGTTTCACAGTGCCCAAAGTGCTAGACACCCTAAGTTGATCCCTGTGCAGTGGCACCCAGATGTTTATACAATATTGAGAGTCTTTTTAAAGATAATTACAAATACAAAATTAGTAACACAATTAAATATTTAGAGTGAAAAAATAATTCATTTAACATGACAAATATATTAACTTTACAAAACATCAATGCTACTATATTTTTCATTAACTGCTTAACAACCCTTTATAATAATTATTCTCTATTTCTGTCTGCATGCTATTGGTCGTCTCCCCATAGGATTCACTTTGATAATATTTACCATAGACAGAATAGTTAGAAATCTGATATGCTTATGTTGACTGAATTTATTGAAAATGTTTATAGTTTAGATATTAAATGTCTGTCACCCACATTTCTTTTTTTTTTTAATTTTTTTTTCTTGCTGTGTACCATCAAATTGGATCTGACTGGTACAGGAGGTTATTGTTCCTCCTTCTTCAGCAGAGCATCTGGTGGATTTGAACCGCACACCTCTGGGATTGTAGTGCAGTTTCCTGCCACTAGGCCACCAGAGCTCGCCGTCACCCACATTTCTAGTCCATATAATAGGAAGCCTGATCATGTTATATTTTCCACATCCAAAATTTACAATCCCAATATGATTTATACACACATGCATGTTCAAGCTCATTTCCAGAAACTGAGAATTTCTGTGGGATCTTGGCATCAGAAACGTTGAAATGTCTACTTCCAAGTCACCCATCTGAGGAATGGAAGAAATGTCCATGGACTATCTTCTGCCTGTAAAATGTCCAGTCTTGCACCTGTTATATTACCCACTATCCACCCAGTGACAAGCACCATAGGACATAGGTCATGCTCATATCCTGCTGCAGCAATTGTCACAAAGATGAGATTAACTGACCCGGGGGGGGGATGGAGGAAATTTATGGGAGCCACTCTGATACTGAGATGACCAACAAGAGTCTAATTATACAGGGAAATGAGTGTGAACTACAAATACAACTCACTAAGCCCAATTACAAGAATTCTCAACTCCACGTCTCCTTGGACAAGTCCCCCCAAACCTAAAGACCTAAAGTCATGTCAATGCTGCTAGAACTACAATTAAGTGAGATGGAGGAACGGCTGTGGTATAAGAAGAGAGCTGTCCTATTGGATGCTTCTTTTGGAAAACATAATTGCAACATAAATTAAAACATTGTCCTGGGTGGACAATGTCCAGGACTCCACTCCTCCGGTGTGCAAGTAAGGGACCAGGAGGTGACTAACTTCCCCTTGAAAATAGAAATTTCCCTTATCCTCACGTTTCTGCACCAGACGGTCACCATATCACTAATCGTAGAAGAGAAGCATCATGGTTCATGGGCTTTATAGTCAAATGGCACGGGTTAAATCCTAGCCCTTTGGTTCACCAGGCATGTGCCTTAGATAAAACGTTTGAACTTTCTGAGCCCCAAGGACAGAAGGTGTGACACAGGTGTCAGAGAGACTTCTTCGTCAAATATAAATTTAAGAGTATGCAAGTCCTGGGTGTTCTGCCAGATACCTGGAACAACTCACAATGAGCTCTTCCCCAGTGTACCTCCAGAACACAGTCGAGGACCTGAGATCTGAATGAGAAAATGGGGAATCAGGAAACTGGGGCCTTAGAGCCTGTCTTCTCCCTAGAGAGGTCTAACAGCCCCCAGCTCCGACCATGAGCACCAAAAGGAGAGTCCGGGAAAGTAGGTCCCAGGAGACACTAGGACCCAATGTCCAGGAGTCCCTGTTATTGCTTAGATCACACAGTCCTATTCCTAGGCCATGTGATCGTAAACAACTGGGGGGGGCATGGCATGTGGTACCGAGTTAGGACCAACTCAACTTCCCTGAAGAGGGTTTTCAGAGGCAGTATATTTCATGGGAAGAAATTGCCTATCCTTCTCCCATGGAGCAGCTGGTGGATTTGAACTGCATGCCTTTGGGTTGGCAGCACAGCTCCTTACCACTTAGGCCATCAGAGCTCCCTAAGAAATGGGTAAAGGCAATAGTGTTCTCCGCTCTTCCTTTCTGAGTACCTGCCCTTTGTCTCCAGCTTTGCACAGGAGATGGTAATTATTCCGGAAGGACATAGAGAGAACTAGGCGTGTCCATCTTCTCACATACTAAGTAGGTTTATGCAGAAAGATGGCACCTTGCAGGCTTCAATCTTTGTAGGGGATTCTTTGCTTACTGTGTGTCTGAGTTTCCTGTGGCTGCTGTAACATAATAGAGCTGAAAGGTAGGTCTACCTTCTAAGAAGAACTTGGAGTGCCTATGAGGTGCAAAAGATAAATGCACTCAGTTGCTCCCCAAAAGTTGAAGTTTCAAATTCACCCAGAAACGCCTTGGAAGAATGCCTACAGACTGGTTCCTAAACCAGCAACCACTGAAAGTCCTGTGGGGCCCAGTTCTCCTCTGATGCTCAGGAGAGGTCCTCAAGGCGACCTGCTGACGATTTGTCTTGGTAACCACTTGTGGAGGACATTTCTTTTCCCCCCAACTCTGGGCCCTCTTGCAATGCCCTGCTCAGGATGGACCTCAGGGGCACCCTTAGGCTGCTGCTCCTCCGTCTGCCCACCAGGAAATAGATGAAGGGGTTGGCACTGCTGCTCAGGGACGAGGTGAAGCATGACAGCTTCATTAACAGATAATACACGTAAGAACGTGCTTGTAGCCTGTAGAGGAGGGTCCAGAAGATGCCGAAGGGCAGAGAGCAGACCACAAACACCAGGACTGAGACCAGGATGATCACAAACAGCCTCACGGATCGCCGACGCCACGCGCGGGGTCTTCTCTGGATCTGGACGAAGAGGACCACGCTGGAGAGGATCATAATGGGTGTAAAGATCCCCAGAATGAGAACATTCATGAACATGTCCATGGTGAAGCCTCGCTGAATGTCAGTATAGCAGAAGGAAATGGCCAGTGTCATCATGAGGAGAGCCAGCCCCCAGAGCAGGGTGCACACCACGGTGGACAGGTGCCGGGGCCTGTGGACCTTGTACCAGATGGGGAAGAGGACGGAGAGGCAGCGCTGGACGCTGATGACGGTCAGCAGGCTCAGGCCCGCGGTGTATGCAAAGAACATCACTATTATTAGCAGCAGGAAGAAGAAGAAGTACGTCTCAATCATCTTCTTGAGGAATTCCATGCTTAGCACAAGGACCAAGCAGAGGAGGAAGAGGAAGTCAGCCACCGCCAGGTTGAGGACGTAGACAGAGAAGGGGTTCCTCTGCACGCGGAAGCCCAGCAGCCAGACGACCACACCATTGCCCACCATCCCGCACACGCAGGTGAGCAGGGTCAGAACGCTGAGTATGAGAAAGGTTACACCCCACGCGTCCATCGTGATGTTGATTAAGGTCAACTCGAGGATCTCGCTGCCATCCAGAGTGCCGTTCATCCCTGCAGAAGAAGGTGGACCGATGTGAATGTCCCGTGGCCCTCAACTCAGGTTCTTTTAACAGAAGATCATGACCGGCAAACCTCTTATTGTCCCTACAACCCTGGCTGACCCACCCCAACTTCGCACCACACACGGTGTGATTAGTTTGATGTTTTGTAGAGACTCTTCATCCAGCTAAAAGTATTTTATTTTTAGGTTATTATTTTTTTTCTCAAACATCAAGATTATTGATTTTTATCAAATGATTTTTTAAATGTTGATTTGTGTTCATATTTTTCCTATAATCTTCAGATACCATAATTTAATTAGACCTTAGGTTCAAAGAATAAAATTGATAACATCCCTCATCTTAGGAAGCACCATGATTAGCATCCACTGGCCTCCCCTCATTTGGGTCGTCCCTTTTAACCTCAATCCCATATTGTTTTTACTGTCTTTCCTCTGTAATCTCTGCAGATCTGATCTTGAACATCTGGTGTTGCTGTCTGGTCAACTCAAATCATGGTGACCTGACGAGTATGATTATTCTTTGTAAAATTGAACGTCAGTTTGAAATGACATGACAGAGGTGTCTGAACTCCTCTAACATTACATAAGGGAGAAGAACAGTGATCAGCATCATTCAAGGCACCGTTATAGACCATGCTCCCAGAGTTCCTTAAGCAACTAATGGGCGGTTGTTCCAGTTGAGAAGGCTCAGGGTACAGGTCTTGGACCAGGGAACCTCTCTCAACTGTACCCGCAGACAAATGTCTCTCTGTTCCACAGTTTTCCTGAGGGACCTCTTGGCCATGCTGACTTTTAAAATTCTGTTTCATCACTGGCAAAATTGGTATCAGAAAAAGAAAGGAGGCCAGAGAAGGTGGGACCTCTGAACTCCACAAAAATGAAACCACACGCTGTGAGAATTTGAGTAAAAAACTAAAAGCACACTGACCATGTCAAGACTGACCGCATAGTTACCTGTTACAGCCTGGCTCCTAAAGTCTGGATGGCAGTGCCCTTGGTCTCTGCTGAGTCAGAGACCACCACAACGTGACACTCAGTGAATGCTGAGTGACTACCGAGTTTAAGGCTTTGCTAAATGCTGCATACCTATCCGGAGATTGCTACCCTCATCTTCTTCTGCTCATGTGATGAACCCATCAGAATGTCTGTTTCCCAGCTAGCTGTCTCACCTCCCTCTAGAGTTCAGTAACCAACAGAAATGCATTCTATTAAAGCGCCAGGAGCCAGAAGCTCTAACTCAGGTGTCTACAGGCTCTGCTCCCACTGGAGGCTCTAAAGGAGGACCCTTCCTTTCCTCTTCTGCTCTTGTAGCCCCAGGCGTTCCTTGGGTTGGGGCAGCATCACTCACAGCCTTCGTCCTCACACACCCCTGTGTGCTCTGTATTTGGGAAGCTCTGCTTTCTCTTCTTATAAAAGCTTCACTCAGATTCAGTCAGGACTCACCTGACTCCAGAACGATCTCAGGTGATCCAACCCCTTCTACAAGACTATTTCCAAATGAGGTCATGTTCACAGGGACTGAGGGCTAGGATTTGGAAACAACTTGTTGGGGCACTCGAACAATTCATTCTGACACGGTTCCCCCTCCCCCCCCCGCCTCCCCCCAGTACAAGGAAGGGAGGAAACACTCAGTAAGGATTACTGAAAGGTGAACATGCCAGTATGGAGGACCACACTTCAGCTTCCAACCTGATATGCCCACCAAGGAGAAGGAGGCCCCATCACTCCCCAACAGCTGCCCAACTAGGTAGTTGACCCTGGACCGGGGGGAGACATTGATCTTCTATCTCAATTGCTCCCAATGCCCAGTCCAGCCCAGAAGAGGTCCCTGGGAGAAGGCATCTGAGCTCATTCTGGCCACAACAGCTCGGCTCCGTTACGAGCTTTCTTAAGGAGTGTCTAGGGCAGATGTGTTTCTCTGTGCCTATACCTATTTGTATTGACACCAGTGTTTACTGTGTGCATGCCTAACAGATTGGCTGATGGCTAATGGACACACTGCCCAGCCAAGTGGCCACACTCTTCTACATACTGGCTCCAGCTCTTTGAACCAGGCTTTGACCTTGAAATTGCTCTTCCCATCATCCCTGCACATCCTTTCGTCTGGGAAAAGTCCTAACCCTTGTTCTCATGTCCACTGAGATAATCAGCAAGGAAGAGATCTTGGGAATGGCTGGACAGGAAGGAATATGACCATAACTCATGCTCAGAGCTGGCCACCTTGAGTCCCTGGAAGAGCCTTACTTCCTGTCTGTGAGTTCTGTAGAAGGGATTTTTTTTCTACCCCCCTCGATGTTGCCCCTGGTGTGTTACAGAGGATGGAGGCCAGGGAAAAGGGCAATAATAGCATCTCTGCCCCAGGGCTGAGATCTGACAAGGTGAAAGTGTTCTCTCTCTCAGGGTGAGACCACTAGCATTCTGCCTCTGGGAGATGGGCTTTGTCGTGTCATGTTATTTAGATGACAAGGGATAGAGCAGTCCAGACACTCACCTGGGTCCCTAAATTGCATTCTGCAAAGCAAGGATGCCTAAAAGGCACATATTGTGACTCTCTGCTCTCCATGCCCACCCAAGACAGACTGAAGGCTCACCTCTTCCTTGGTGCTCCATCCTCAGGCAGGGGCTGGTGCTCGCCTGCACCAGACCACAGGGTCCTCTGGGAAGCACTAGTACTCCAGCCACTGTAGGAGATTTTACCTCCAGAGTCCAGTGCAGCCTTGTTTTCTGGACAAGGCTGCCTCAGGCTTCTTCGCTACCCCTGAGCTCTGCAGCCAGGACCAGAGAATCATTGTCAGCTTGCTCTGGGAAGTGAAAGGGGTTCAGGGTTTATAATCACAGGAAGCAAGCATAAATACAGGAACCTCCCTATAGGGCTGGGGGCTAATGGACTTGAGCACACAGCTTGCCAAGAGAGGGCTGGTGCAGGGATGTGGAGGAAGAGCCTGGAGCCCAGAAGTGCCTGTCTCTGTGTGGGTCTCTTACAATAGCTAGGGTAACCACAGAACATTAGCAGCCAGGAGGGAGTCGGGGTGGGGTTGGGCAGGGAGGGGCTACCTCCTGCCAGGAAAGCTGTCAGAACCACCCCTGGTTGCCTGCATGAATAATGTCTGCTGGTGGACTTGTCCAGTGATGACGATGCTCAGAGGATGGGATGGAGCACTGGATGAGCCTTGTTTCTCAGTCACGGTATTCTTTCTGGGTGCTCTCCAAGGTACCCTCACTCTTGGTTCTATAAGGGAGACACTAAGAACACTCACTCAGCTCCCCAGGCCCACGAAGATGTTGAGTCGGGCATGTGTGACTTCTCTGGGACATCCTGATGCTCAGGAAGTCCCCCAGGACTGCATTTGGGGGCTTTCCAAAGAGTAGCTGGATTATCCCGCCTGCTCATCAGGCCCCCAGCCACTAACCCCTGTGTGTCAGCAGGCTGTGACCGTTAACTCACTTGTGCCATCTGATTTCTATTAGTGTTTGATTTGGAGCTTCCTGCTTTGGAGGAGCCTCCAACAGATCCCGGGGTGGGAAATGGGGTGCCATCTGAGGGATGGTGCCCATCTCTCTGCCAACCCTCCTGCTCACAAAGCCCAAGCCTCCCACCCTCACTGCCTCCAGCATCTTTGCATCTGCTTCAATCAGTTACAAAGGGAGTGGACACTGGCCCTGTTTGCTCCTGCATCTCTGAAAAATATCCTTTCTCCACCCCAACGAAGACCAAAGGCACAGGGTAAGCATGTGTCCCTTCTCCAAACAGCCAGGCTACATTGTGAAGTATGAGTTCAAAGCGATACTCAGGCCACACTGTTATTTGGCCACTTGATCACCTGACAGAGAGCTGAGGGCCCCTCAGGGGTCTGGGAGAGTTGGTAGTGTCTCTGAGCTGGGCATTCCTTCTGGTAGCCTTCACCCACTCTACCCTGCATCCACTCCCCAGCTCTCCTGCCACATCTGGAATAGTTTTGGCACTGGTTATGTTTCCATCAGGATTAGAGCTCATCCATCCATCTGGATCCCAGATCAGAGCTGCATTTTCCGGGTTTGACTGTGCTCTCTGCCTCCTGCCATGCTGGGCTAATGGCACATTTTGTTTCATAACATGTTTTACAATATGCACAATACATTCATCCAATGTAGTCTTTCTCTTAGTGTGTGTTATCTATTACCTTTATGCCCTCTCTTCTCCTCCCTTATAGCCATACTAGAATGTTTCTCTCTGTATGTAAGTCTTCCTTTCTTTTTTTTATAACAGTAGTCTTACATAACATCTATCTTTTTATGACTGGCTGCATTCACTCAGGATAATGTCTTCTAGACTCACCTATGTTATATAATGTTTCACAAAATCTTCATTGTTTTTCAATGTTGTGTAGGACTCTGTTGTGTGACTGGATCATTATTTTTTACCCTCTCATTCACTGATGGACACTTGGTTGTTTCCAGCTCTTTATTGTTGTGAATAATACTACAATAAGCATGTGTGTATGTATCTGTTCATATAACAGCTCTTATTTCTTTAGGGTATGTATCCAATAGTACAAAAATTGGATCAAATAGTATATTTTCAGCTTCTTAAGAAAATGCCAGGAGTGACGCCAGACCAGGAGTGAGCCACTGGGAGTGAGCAGCTGAGAGCAAGACACCAGGGGCAAGCCAGATAGCTGGAAGTTGAGTGAGGTCACGAGGCAAGCATTTGCATGCGGGCCTGCCTGGGGTGCATCTGCATGTGTGTGCTCAGCACATACCTGCACTGTGTCCATGCCCACCCTGCCTGCCCTGTGAGCCTGCCTCTGCATTGCCTCTCCTCATGCCCAGTCAACTAACTGCCTTGGTCTGCCCTAGCTGCAACTGTCATCTGACAGAAGAAGCTACTTTCACAGGCCCTGAACTGAAACTTTCCTTGGGTCAGAAGTTCAGAGAGAAATACAGGCAGGGTAGCTGCCCCACCCTCTTCTAGAGCAGTGACTTCAGATCAAGAACCTATCATCACCTCAGGCATGAAAAACTCTACCACAGCAATGTCATATAAGAAGCAGGCCACCTCACACCCTACACAAGCCCAAAGCAAGGTGTCACCCCCAAAAGTGACACAGTATCAATGGACTTCCTGAAGCCAGAAAGTCTGACTGAACTTTCTGACACAGAATTTAAAAGAACAGTGATTGAATATTTTCAACAAGTGAAAGGCAAACTTGAAGAAATACAGGACACTGCAAGCAAAAAACAAGAGGAACTTAAAAAACAATCCAAAACAATGCAGGTAAAACAAATGAGGCATTAGAGGTTCTGGAAAAACAAAAACCCATGATCAAAAATATGAGGTTCAATGTTTCAGATGCTGTCAACATGATGGAGGGACATATGAATAGAGTTGAGGAGGAGGAACACAGAACCAGTGAAATAGAAGATAGAATGGCCACCACTTATCTGCTAGAACAAAAAGCAGAATCAAAAAGGAAGGAAAAAAGGAGAAAAATAAAAGAATTACGTGAAACACCATCAAGAGAAATAACATGCACATCATCAGAATCCCAAAACAGGAAGAAGCAAATAAAGGCACAAAAAAGAAAGTTGTGGAAAAAAAAAAAAAAGAATTACTAGAGGAAAACTTCTCAGGCATAATGAAGAATAAGAGAATATATATTCAAGAAGCTGAGTGAACACCATATAGAACAGACCTCAAAAGAAAAACACCAAGGCATATCATAGTCAACTTTGCCAGAACCAAAGATAAGGAGAGAATTCTGAAAGCAGCGAGGGAGAAACAAAGAGTAACCTATAAGGAAGAGCAAATAAGGCTATGTGTCAATTTCTCAGCAGAAACCATGTGAGCAAGGAGACAGTGGAATGACAAATACTGAATACTCAAAGAACACAACTGTCAACCAAGAATATTGTACCCAGAAAAATTATCCATCAACTATGAAGGTGAGATCAGGATATTCCCAGAAAGACAGAATATACAAGAGTTTGTGAAAACAAGACCAGCATTGCAAGAAACACTGTGAGATGTCCTTCTTGCAGAGATGCCACAGAAGGTAAGATAGACCAAAGTAACTAGCAACAACATCAAAATGAACTCAACAAAATGATAGCAATAAAACCTTGCCTCTCACTAATCACATTGCATGTGAATGATTTAAATGCACCACTGAAGAGAAAAAGACTAACAGATTGGATAAAAAAACAAAATCCATCAATATGCTATCCACAAGAGACACACCTGAAAAGTGAAGATAAAGACTAAACATATACCAAGCAAATGACAACCATAAAAAAGTACAAGTAACGATATTAATCTCTGATAAAATAAATTTCAATGCAAAAACCATCACAAAGGACAAGGAAGCTCACTACATAATGCTTAAAGAGTTAATAGAAGAAGAGGACATAATAATAAATATCTATGCTCCAAATTATAGAGCTGCAAAATGTAGAAAATAAACATTAACAAAACTGAAAAAGAAAATAGATAACACCGCTGTAGTAGTTGGAGACTCAATATACCACTCT